TCATCCCATAGTACCTTTAAATTCCGCAAATGAGATAGAGTGATTTAGGCCTCCTTATCCCCAAATTTTACACAAAATTTTGCCCTCTTAATCACAAAAAGTAAAGAGCTTAGTTTCTAGATTTTGGATTCTTAGTCCCAAGAACTTGGATCTTGATCCATGTTCTAATTTTTGTTTTTGTTCTTGTTTCTTGAGTGTTACCTAACAGTGTTCATGTCTTAATGAACTTAGGGCTTATATACCGCTACTTAAGGTAGCATATTGGTAACTTGACAATCAAAGCTTACTTTCTTCGATCATGGCCATAAGGTAGCATATTGATTAATTAAATATCAAAAGCTACCAAAAGCTTATCTAGCATCGTGATTACTTGAAAATCAAGAGCTAACCTTGAGCTCATAGGGTAGCTTCTAAATTACGTGAAAATCAAGAGCTATCCTAAACCTTATCTTGAGGTAGCACCTTGATTATTTGAAAATCAAGAGCTGAACTTGAGCTCATCTTTACTTAGGGTAGCCTCCTGATTACTTGAAAGTCAATGACTATTCTAACCGTTATCTTGAGATAGCATCCTGATTACTTAAAAATTAAGAGCTAACCTTAAGCTCATCTAGATTTAGGGTAGCCTCTTAATTACTCGAAAGTCAAGGGTTGTCCTAAACCTTCTCTTGAGGTAGTATCCTGATTACTTGAAAATCAAAAGTTAACCGTGAGATCATCCTAAGGTAGTCTCTTAATTACTTGAAAATCAAGGATTAAAGTTTATCTTAAGGTAACATTGTGATTACTTGAAAATCAATAGTTAACCTTGAACTTATAACACATCTTGACCATGATACTTGGTAACATTCAAGCCCCTAGAGTGAGCTCAAGTCGTGATCCATTCTAGGCCTCTAAAAGTTAAATCTTAAGAGTATGTGAGCACAAGTCATGATCCATTCTAGGGCCTATAAAAGTTAAATCTTAGGAGTCTTTAGGGACAGGTTTCATCATTTCTTTTAAAATGGCTTATACCCTAAAATTAGTTTAAGTTCTAAACTTGGTCCAAACATTTTGAAATTTTAGATAACACTTCATGTCCTTGTACGCCGTACTTCAAATCTTGAGTTATTTGGAGGGTGCATGGACCTTAAAATATATTAAAGAATCCTTTGGGGCATTTTAGTCATTTTTATCTTAAAACTTGGTTCGAGCCCAGAACAAAATCCAATTGTTCTAAAAAAATTTATAGTCCTTAGAAATCATGACATAAGTCCTCTTATGAAGTTCATGACATTTGGATTTGTAAGCGGAAAGTAAGTTACCATAGGGGCATTATAGTCATTTGACATTGTTGCTTGATTTAGCTTATTATCCTTATCAAATGACCACTTAATTTCATATGTAACTTTAAAATATAATATCATGACTAATATTAAAATTCATGAACAATAGAGTCCATTTAATGGATTGTTTTAACATTATTTGTTTCTCGAGCAAAAAGCTCGGTTTAAGTCCTCAACTTGTAGTTCATGATGTAATTCTTCCCTAATCCTTTAAACATTACTTAATTTAAGATCTATATTAAATTCCAAGTGATTTCTACTATTATACCTCGAGAAAAGTATAAAATGACTATTTACCTTAGAGTTAACATTCGGGTCTTCGATTCTTGAGCTTCCAATATCCGAATTGCTCCAAATTTTCTTCAGTAGATCCATCCTTTAGTCTAGTTTTTTGAACCATCAATCATTTCTTGAGAATTGATTTAGAATAAGTATAATTTGAGAAAAATTAAGAAAAGATCATGGTTTAGGTTAGCGTTGTCGGTTCAAACCACGTCATTTATCTTCTTCCCCAAACAAGGAAGGAGAGGTGATTCTTGTGGCCAACACGGCCCAAAAAACACCCTTCACACTTCAATATGGAGTGTTTCTTCCCTCGATTAAACTTAAAAGATCATGTGGTAAGAAAGAGTTAGGGCCAAATTTATACTAAAAAACCTTGAAAGTTTACTAGAATATTTTTTTCCTCGCAAGGGAAATACCCATAAAACTTTTATTAGTTGGGATGAAAAAAAAAATTCAGATCTTCTTGAGATCTCTTCGTCTTCTTTCTCTCAAGCTTAAGAAATCGTTTTGAAAGAACAATTTTACGTGGGTATCTCCAATTTTACGTTTAAAACTCTTGAACTTTTACCCATTCTTAATAGATTTTAGAGCTTATTAGGTAGCTCGATAGAGATTGTGTTAGCTCCTAATTTCTTCATGAAAGCTCTTCCTCTCATCTCCACAAAGCTAACGAGATTGGCCCAAACCAATGAGATGGTTTGTAGAGGCTGAATTTTAGATTACCTACAATCTCGCATAAAACAAACCTGATAAGAATTTCTCTGATTTCCCTCGTTCCCGAATTCTTCAACTTTCATGGTCTTCATGGAAGATGTTCCTCAAGCTCTTAAAAAATGAATGGGACTGGTTTGGGAGTACGACATTACCTACAGGCTCCAATTCAATTTTCAAGAAAATTCTTCCTCGTGACCATGGAAGCTTGAGTTGGGTGAATGTGTTTGTGCCATTTCTTTTAGCTGTCCAATCCTTCATGTTGGGGGAACTCATTTAAAAGCCCCAAGAGTTGCTTTGAGAAAACAATGGTGTACGGTAGCCCCTAAATTTGACGAAAGAATATCGAAAGTCCTATTTTTAAGTTCTATCACTTGATTCTTGTCCCAAAATATGCCCATATTTTCTTATTTATAGATGAAAATTGCACGGCCTTTGATCATTCTAGTTTAACTTAAAGTTTTTGGATTGTCCTTAAAAAATATCTACTCGGATGAGGATGCTGACCTTAGTTATGAATATCAACAGTTAGATCTAAAAAACCTCAAATCTTATTGTACAACTCAGATTTGGAGTGAATCCAGTGGTTTGATAAAGATATACGATCGATTTTCGTGCAATTAGTCTTATAAAACCAAATTCACTATTGATTCAATGATAAGAGGCATTATCATAATTATTTTGAACTTTAAAAGGTATTTTAGTAATTTATTTTTTCTTTTATCCTTCTAGGTCATTTTTCTCTTTGAACATCTTGAGATTCCTTCTCAATAAGGAATTAAAAATCGAGAAATTTTCTTTGAAATTAAAATAAAAAGACTTTTTTGCCCTTCCTACCTATTATTTCTCTTCTAAATCTTCTTCGGCTCTTTCTTGCTATTGCATAGAAAATATCTTTCTTGGATCCATTAGCCTTAAACTTACCCGAGTATCTTAATCTTATTTTGAGAAGTCTCAACTTAATGCTCAACTAGCCTATTTCGGTGATTTTTTTTTGTTGTTATTCCATCACTTTTCGAGACCTAATGCTTCAAGACAATTAATTCAACTATTCAACTTAAAAATGACCGTTTTAACCCTCAAATTGTACGAAGAAATACGGTCGATTTTTGTGTAATTGGTCTTATAAAACCAAATTCACTAGATTCAATAATGGGGCATTATCATAATTATATTGAAGTTTAAAGGTATTTTAGTAATTTGTCACTTTTTAAAAAAAATTTTACCCTTCTAAGTCATTTTTCTCTTTACACATCTTTAAATTCATTCTAAGAAATTAAAAATCGAAAAATTTTCTTTAATATAAAATAAAAAGACTTTTTTGCCCTTAATACTTACTATTTCTCTTACAAATCTTCTTCGCTCCTCCTTACTCAACATTGAAAATATATTTCTTGGTTCCATTAGCTTAAACTTGCTCGGAATATCTTAACCTTATTTTGGGAAGTCCTAACTTCTCAACGAGCCCATTTGGATGATTTTTTTTTTTTTTTTTTGTTATTTCATCACTTTTCGAGACCTATTACTTCAAGACAACTAATTCAACCATTCAACTTAAAAATGACTATTTTAACCCTCGGATCGCATGAAGAAATACGGTCGATCTTTGTGCAATTGGTCTTATAAAACTAAATTCACTATAGATTCATTGATAGGGGCATTATCGTAATTATATTTGACTTTAAAGGTGTTTTAGTAATTTAATTTAAAATTTTTCTTTTTTACCCTTCTAGGTTATTTTTCTCTTTAAGAACATCATGAAATTCCTTCTCTATAAGGAATTAAAAATAGAAAAATTCTTTAAAATTAAAAAAATAAAAAAAACTTTTTTGCCTAATCTTTTCGGGCTCTTCCTTACTATGACATCGAAAATTCTTAGTTCCATTAGCCTTCAACTTGTCCGAATATCTTAACTTTATTTTCGGAAATCCTAACTTAATGCTCAACGAGCCCATTTGGATGACTTTTTTTGTTGTTATTTCATCACTTTCCAAGACCTATACTTCAAGGCAACTAATTCAACCATTCAACTTAAAAATGACCGTTTTAACCCTCGGATTGCATAAAGAAATACAGTTGATCTTTGTGCAATTGGTCTTATAAAATCAAATTCACTATAGATTTGATGATACCATTACCGTAATTATATTAAACTTTAAAAGTGTTTTAGTAATTTATCATTTTAATTTTTTTTTTTTTTACTCTTCTAGGTCATTTTTCTCTTCTAGAACATCATGAAATTCCTTCTCCGTCCCTAATTAAAAATCTTCTTTAAAATTAAAATAAAAAGACTTTTTTACCCTTCGTACTTACCATTTCTCTTCCAAATCTTCTCTGACTCTTCCTTACTATGACACAGAAAATATCTTTCTTGGTTTCATTAACCTTAAATTTGCCCGAATATCTTAATCTTATTTTGGGAAGTCCTAATGGATGACTTTTTTTTTTGTTGTTATTTGATCGATCTATTGCTTCAAGACAACTAATTCAACCATTCAACTTAAAATGACCATTTTACCCCTCAAATCGCACTATATTTTTCTAATTGCGGGGAGGAGAAAGAAAAGAGACAAAACAAAGGCAAATAAAATTGGAACGAGAAAAAAAGATGTGGAGTAGTTTGTCACCAAATTCCATGATATCCTAAAGCATCAAGTCACGTTAGAACAGGCCCACCACTATGGAATAACGAAACTCCGTTTCATTCTCATATTATATTCTCTCTAACACACCATTTTCCATCACCCATTTCTTCATTCTTCACCTAACCCATGTCATCCGACCGACCCATTTCCGAATTTTCTGCCTCCATGTCGGCGAGAAGCCTCGGCGACATGTCCGAACTTGGTACCATCCAAATCGGCGTCGATATTATTTCCGCCGTCCGTCGAAACCTCGGCTTTCTCAGAACCGTCGCCGATTCCCACTGGCTCCACTGTGAGTCCACTCTCAGTGAAGCCATACGAAGGTCAAATCCTAATCCACTTTTTAATTCAACTGATGCGAATCTCTTTTGGGTTTATGCATTTAATGCTAATCGAGATGTTTTCTGGATTTTTGTTTTTTTAAGGTATGAGGAGCTTTGGATGCCGTTGATTTCTGATCTAATGGTTGCTGGGGCTTCGCCTCCTATGATTCTTCCTCCGTTGGATGTTGAATGGGTTTGGTTCTGCCACACGTTGAATCCGGTTAGCCTTATTCTGTTTGTTTCCTGAGAAAATTCCTAATGAATCAAACACCCTTTAGATTGGTTATCTAGTGTGTTTTATTTAGGGAATGATTATGAGTTTATAAGTAAGGAATATATCTCCATCGGTATGGGATCTTTTGAGGAAGCCCAAAGGAAAGACATGAGAGCTTATGCTCAAAGTGGATAATATCATACCACTGTGGAGAGTCGTGATTCCTAACATGGTACCAGAGTTATGCCTTAACTTAGCTATGTTAGTAGAATTCTCATATGTCGAACAAAAAAGTTATGAGTCTCGAAGATGTAGTCAAAAGTGACTCAAGTGTTAACTTGAACAAAGGGTCTACTTTGTTCGAGGATTCCAGAGAAGGAGTCGAGCGTCGAGTGAGGATGTCGAACAAAAAAGTTATGAGTCTCGAAGATGTAGTCAAAAGTGACTCAAGTGTTAACTTGAACAAAGGGTGTACTTTGTTCGAGGACTCCAGAGAAGGAGTCGAGCGTCGAGTGAGGGGAGATTGTTCGAGGGCTCCATAGGAGAAGTTGTGGAGCCTCGAAGGTGTAGTCAAAAGTGACTTAAGTGTCGAACAAAGAGTGTACTTTGTTTGAAGACTCCAGAGAAGGAGTCAAGCCTCGATTAAGGGTAGGTTGTTTGAGGGCTCAATAGGAGAAGTTGTGAGCCTCAAAGGTGTAATCAAAAGTGACTCAAGTGTCGAACAAAGGGTGTGCTTTGTTCGAGAACTCCAGAAAAGGAGTCGAGCCACGATTAAGGGGAGGCTAGTTGATGGCTCCATAGGCCTCAGGGAAGGCTAGCTGATGGCTCCATAGGCCTCAGGGAAGGCTCTATAGTGAACTTATCGAGGATTGTTAGAAGGGAGCACCATTGTGGAGAGTCTTGATTCCTAACATGTTTTGGGAGTGTGATATAAGCACTTCGGTAGAATCACTTGGGTCGAACGTACTCTACAGTGTTTTTCTAAACGTTCTAAGCAGCTTAACGAGCATTAAAGGTAATAATATACTTCTTTCAGGTCAGTTACAAACATTACTGTGAGACAAGATTCCTTAAGCTTATTGGAAAACCATCAATTTTTGATGAAGAGAATGAAGATTATGCATATATGAGGTGCAAAGAAATTTGGGTCAAGAGGTACCCAACCCAATCCTTTGAAAATGAAGGAAGTTCAAGTTTGAGAGACGAAATTAGTGTTGAAAATCACGAGCTTTTCGAACTAGTAAGGAGCCATAAGCACTTGTACTCGACGTTTTCGGAGCCGTTCAGGTCCGAGATCATCTACCTTATTGCAGCTAAGCAACGATACAAAGGGTTTCTGTATATGTTGCAGAGCTTTTCTGATGAATGTTCTTCTTTCGTGCCTGCCTCAGATATTCTTCTCATGTGGCTTACCCATCAGGTAAATGTTCATATTAAAAAGCTCGTAGAGATATACACGGTAGATTGCCATATAGTAGGTGGTTATATCTGGTAAAGCTATATATAGTAAACGGAATGCATATAGTGCTTTGAAGAAGTACTTTCTTCGTTCTCTGTATTCTCTCTTGCGTTATATATTTGTATTTATCAATATAAACCTTTAGCCAATATTTCTCGTGTTCATCTAGATCGAGTGTGTACTGTTCTTTATGTTCATCTGGATCGAGTGTGTGCATTGTTGTGCGATCCTAACACATGCTTAATTGTGAGATCATAAAGAACGAAACATTCACTAATCACAAGAGCCTTTAAATTTTGATTGTGAGATCCCACATCGGTTAGGGAAGAGAACGAAACATTCTTTATAAGGGTGTGGAAAATTCTCTCTAGTCAATGCGTTTTTAAAACCCCTTGAGGGGAAGGTCAAGAGGGAAAGTCTAAAGAGGACAATATCTGCTACAGTGGGCTTGGACCGTTACATTGATTGTATTAGTCGAGCCATGTCGGTGCAATGTATTACCATCTATGTTTGTTAATGCTGTATTTTCTGCCTTTACATCAGACGTTTTATGTTCCAAACTTCATTCTTGTTTGTTATATGTAAACCAGAGTTATCCAACAGTTTATGCAGAAGATGTAAAGGAGATGCAGGGAGATTTGACGAAGGTCGTGAGGTTCGGGGAAACCGTGAAGGCAATGGAACTGGAAAAAACCAAGCAACTGTGGCACCGAACCTTTCGACAACCGTACGAGAAAGCCGGAGGAGGGATAACCATGGAACTAGGAAGAGCTGTTACTTCCAATCCTCTAGCTTACTGGGAAGCATCCGATTCGGACGTTAACACAAAGTACAAGTCTATGATGTCGAGGTTCGTACTCGAGGTTTGTTAACTAACTCGAACAAGTCATTTGGATATTAGCAAAGTATCAAAGTTTTATGTTCATTAACTTTTTTTTATCCATGCTTTGAATTCAGGTTTGTGTGTTTCTGCAGCTCAAAGCTCAAAAACAACCATTACAACAAGTTTCTTCACATGAATTTCTTTGTTTACGCACTTTACGATGCCATCGGGAGCTTAAGCTCAATCAACAGATCTCGAGGCTCAACGATGACTCGTGGCACAAAGCGTGGCATCTCTATTGTGAATTCGGTACCAAGGGAGTCGTTCTTGAGGTTCGGCGTCCCAATGGCCATTGTTTTAAAGGAAGTATCATTAAGAAAGCTACCACATTCAAGTGGAATGACTTGATAAGAGCACCTTCACTTACTTTAGAAAGACAATTGAATCAAAATCTCAAGGTGGTTGTCTCAATAACTCCACCAGTTCAAGCACCCTACTTGTTAAAATGTGTACCAGACAAAGTGATAGATGATTCCGGGGCGATGGTTTCGGATGTTGTTCTTAAAATGAACCAATACCGGCCTCAAGAAGGGCGGTGGCTATCTCGAACCGTACTCGACCATGGAGGTAGAGAGTGTTTTGTCATTTGTATAAGGTAATAACTTAATCAATACTTCACCATCATCTCTCATTTAGTTAACGATTTGTCGAGTTATTTTTTACTAATGTTCGGGGCACATCGAGATGTAACATGACAATGTGAACGTAAAACGCAGGGTTGGAGGGGGGTTTTGGAGGAGAGGAGGTGAAACTCCTCTGCCTGTGAAATGGGAGGACAGAGTTATCGAGATTCGAGAAGGTTCTTGGTCGTATATCGCTGGCTCCATCGGCCGAACCCCGGGTATGATATATTCGTACTTGAATCAAATCTTCCTAAATCTTGAAACTTTCATATCTTGTGGATAATTAGTAAGATCTCAATTTTTGGTGAGTTCTTTATATGAACGGTGTAACGGCCCAAGCCCAAGCTCGCTATTAGATATTGTCCACTTTGGGGTTTCTCTTTCGGGCTTCCCCTCAAAACTTTAAAACACGTCTGTTGGGGGAAGGTTTCCACACCCTTATAAAGGGTGTTTTGTTCTCCTCCCCAACCAATGTGGGACATCACAAACGGTAAAGAGCCAGAACTTGGACTCGGTTTGAATAAGTGATTGTTTAATAATGAGCACGGAGATGGTCTAGAATCTCGACTTGAAGCAGCTACATTACTTAAATTTTGAACATTGATTAATACATTGGCATCTAGAACAGAGAAAGTGGTAGGAACTGCAACACCAAAACAGCCACTAGAAGAATTTAAAGCTGCTTGGAAATTCTCTACTGGTGATGAACTGATGGTTCAATGGGACACTTCAACACCAAAACCAGCCTTTAGCTTTGTCTTAACAAATCCAACTTCAGAATCATCTGTATGTGGTCATTCCATATCTCGGATCTTGTTCACAAGTTCTTTTTCTGGTTTCGAGTTTCGGGTTTCAATATGTTTTGATATTGCAGGTAAGGCTCGTAAAAGGTCAGCAAAAGCTATATCAAGAGCCACGACTCGATGGTGAAGGGCAGGAGGAAGAAGAGAAAGACGAAGATGACGACGGGTTTGTAACAATGATTCGATATACTAATGAGGACCCAACTGGAAGGGCAACAGCTCTTCTGAACTGGAAGTTGCTTGTGATTGAGTTGTTGCCAGAGGAGGACGCCGTGTTGGCTCTTCTTCTCTGCATTTCGATCCTGAGGAGCGTATCAGAAATGAAGAAAGAAGACGTTGGAAACTTGCTACTTCGAAGGCGAATGAAGGAGACGAAAATAGGTCTTAGAGATTGGGGCTCCATAATGCTTCACCCTTCATCGAAAAGTTCGACTCCTTCGTTGCCTTACCTTCAACCTTGGTATTGGAATGCCAAAACCGTGATGGCATCCAACAGCGTTGATCACCCCACGAGACAGCCTGCGTCGAGCTACTTGCCCGTGGAGGGTGGAGATAAGTTGTACAAGCAAGGAATAATATCATGAATGATATACTTCCATGGTTTAGTTGCATGATTGGGCTAAATATATAATTTAGTTCCTAATGTTGATATTGTTTTTCAAATATTAATTTGTAATTTCTATTTCATCCTTAGACCATCCCTAACGTTTTTACGTGTGAGAATCCCACATTGGTTGGGGAGGAAAATAAAATATCATTTATAAGGGTGTGGAAACCTTTCCCTAGCAGACGCGTTTTGAACCCTTGAGAGGAAGCTCGAAAGGGAAAACCCAAAGAGGAGCAGTGGGTCTGGGTTGTTACATCAGAGAGATTGAAATGGTCCTAACACTTTGTTTAGCTCATTGTGTGACTTTCTAGATGTTAAACCATGCGTAGGGTGAGGGATAAGAGGGGGAGGCCTTAAATTGAAGGCTTCCCTCACTCGCTCTAACGCTAAGTTTGCATGAGGTGCAAGCTTATGACAAATGAGGATTTTCGGTGGAATTGGTGAACCACGCTAGCAGGTTAGGATTTCATAAAGAAAGGCAACATCCACTGCATGGAACTTCAGACCATAGAATGTCTCGATATAGAGATTGGCTACGAGTGTCGATCATGAACGCTACGTCAACATGCTAGCATGATTCATAGGCTCATTATGTTATAAATGAATGGAGGTTTGGCTTGCATCATAAACATATGCCATGAATTTAAAATATGAGGAACTCAAGCATTTATTTTGGTAATAAGTATCGGGATATTTTCCCGTTATGATTAGAACAAACGCGTACTGTAACGACTTTAGATTTCTACTTAACCTAGAGTCACTATTGTATACATATCATAGACATTTTATGCGAAAATAAGCGTTTAAACTTCATCTTAAAACACCGCCATGGACTTACGTGTTCGAAAACATCTTTAAAATGACATAATGAAATAGTCAATGAAATAAATAAGCGTTAAAACTAAAAACATCTTATTCTAACCCAAGTCTAAGAAAACAAGTACAACTACTCTATGCATGTGTCATGGTCTCGAATTGGGATATCGCCGTCAGCTATACAAGGATATCATGCCTTTTCCTGAATAGAAGTAGCACTTGACTTGAGTATTTTAAGAAATATTTAGTAAGTGAAGCCACTATTCCTTAGACGACTATCCTAAACAGGCTAATTGGATGTGTATTTCCTGTTCTACACACAATTCACACGTGCGAGTATGGACCCACCAGTCGGTTCGCACACCTCCTAGGCCCCTTTCTTGTCGGGCGAACATTCTTTGGTATTTGTTGATGTTAAACACCAGTTTAGGAATAATGACCGTCTTAACATTATAATAAATATAATGATCGTTTTCTACCTCGTAGTGTACACGTCCATACCATCATAAATGGAGAAGGGGTATCCTCTGATGCATGAAGTCTCAACATTTTTCCTCCCCAACTGATGTGGGATCTCACATCATATCTCAAACATATCATCAAATGCATTGTACCTTAAAATATATCATATCATTCACATATCATTTCATAACCGTTCAAACATACAAGCATATGACACGTGTGAAGCCACGACCACGTGTCATCATACAACAAATAATTATAATTGCACCGATAGTAAGACTATTTACTTGATTGGCTTAGGTCGAAGCTACTACGACACTTTGATGTTTGATACAAATTTAAGGCTGGTTTCTGGAATTTAATTCTACCTATGGGATCCCACAATCATCAATTCAAATTCTAATGTGGGAATTGACTCATCTAATTTTAGTTAAAATAATTTAAACTAATTGTATAATTAGGCAGAAAACTTACTCGTAATAATTTGAATTTAAAATAATTAAGCTTAATCATACGTAAACATTTTAAACCTAATTCCAAAAATTTAAACTAACTAAACCGTATTCATACTAACAACCTTCCAAAGAGTTAAAACTAGAGGAAAGGGTCCAAGCATATCAAACTTAAGTCAGCCAAAATGTTGGCCTATCACTTGCTTCAAACCATGCTATTATTGGGGCATTTCTTCTCTGTGATGTCTAGCCGGCCATTAGAGAGTGCTAGGCCAATGAGCCAGGCTTAAGAGTATGTATATGAGTTCGTCTAGTGGTCCATGTGGGTATGCATGGGTCGTGTGTAGGGGAGTACTGTAAATCAAACTCTATAGAAACTTGAAAGCAACATAAGGCAAAGCAATGGTATTTTTTTAAAAATAGGTCCCACCATATTGCATGTGTTGACATTTTATTTTTTCACACACTGATGAGTTATTTACTAATTATTTTCTAAAATACTCAAGTCATGTGATACTCTTATTTTTCAAGTAAAGAAAACAGACACAAGTACAGATGACCGCGTCACAGTGGAAGCCATGGGATCCACCCTAGGATTGTCGCATTTATGGGTCAAATTGTAGTCCTTAGGTTAGATTAGGGTGATCCGGTTATTTTCAATTTTTGGTATTTTGTTGTCACTATTTCTTTGATAGTTACTTTTATTTAAAATTGATTTTGTAAACGTTTAAAATCGAGGGATTTCAATCATATTCCACTCTCATGATTCGAATCAAGATTTCGCATCTGATGGCACCGACATTGCTCTACATCCCTTATGATAGGATCACATCAGACTATGAAGTTTCTATAATTAAGTCATTGAAAATAAAAGTGTACCTTGTTGATATAGATATTAACATCCATTTCTTTAGTCATCCTATCCTCGGGATAACTTTTATTTGAATGTAGTCTCAGTTCATTCATGTATCACTCATTTACTCCATGTCACGTTAAAAACATGTTTCTAAGACATTTGATTCCATTTTACTTTTATGCCCTTTAATAGTTTAAAAGGAAAGTTTATACTAATTTGGTATCTCAACGTCCATACATAGTAATAAAATCTAAATCCATAAAAGATTCTTTTCATCATCTGCTTTTTTAAATGTAACTCGGGTTAGTCTTTGTATTTACCATGAAGTTCTACAAAATTCGAACTTCAATTTTGGAAGTCTAAAGAACAAAGTTCAATAGTATATGAGGTGATATATGAGGTGATGTTATATGTCATTACCATTGACTTATACTCACGTTACTATCCCTAAAGTAAAGTTACGTCAACATGAATTTTATAGTTTTATGTGGCATTAAATGACATTAAAACTCCAACTCCTAATCTTTTCCTATGTAAGAACCTCCATAGTTCACAACTTTCTCATACAAACAAGACAATACTTCTCTCATTATCTTCACCTTTTCACCCATATTTTTCTACAAACAATGGCAGTAATGTCCCTCAATGCTTCCGCAATGAAGTTAGCACTTGTATTCGTTGTCTGCTTAGCCATTTTTGCATCATCGACCATGACTCTCGTGACAGCAGACTCTCCTAATCAATCAATATCTAATGATTTTGACATCGCTAGCTACATTCCATTTGTTGGAGAAGGGGCGATGTGTGTGGTAGAGGCTCTCAGACTTCCAACTCGGTCCTTATAACTTAACAATAGAAGAGTGAATGTTGTTTGAGAGAATTTACATTTATTTGAATGAGAATGAACATCTTTTTACTATTTATTGAAGGTTGTTTGTAAAATGGTATTTTAACCCTCATAAACAAATAAAAAAATAAAAAATTGTGTTGCTACTAATGTCTCATGTTTATCTTTTAAATGCGGAATATTTAAAAACATTCAGAACACTTCAAAATGCTAGAAAACAGTCATTCTTACGTGTTTCAAAACATAACGGTGGAATTTAAAATTAAAACAAAAAATTACATATGAAATAATTTAAATAATGAAACACAATCGTCCTATTCTAACTTAAGTCTAGGAATTTAAATATGCAATTACCCTATGCACGCACCATAGTCTCTGGATTATGATACCTCCGTCAATCATACATGGACGCCTTGTCTTTACCTGAAAAATAATATGGCACACGACCTGCGAAATATTCAATAAGTGACCACACTCTAGGGGTCATGCTAATGCAATCACATGCAATCATGATGTAGAGATCTATCTTTAGCTCATATAGGGGGTGACCTCCAGTATTGGACAACTATGGATGTGTAGTACTTCCCTACACACGACCCACACGTGCAAGTGTGAATCCCCAGGTGGGCTCGCACACCCCCTGGACCTTTTCTGATCAAGCTAATCTGTAGTGACGTCTGGAGGTCAGCGGAACCTCTAGTCTCATGCACCTCATAAACACCCTCATCATCATACTATGCACGTACGCACTCATCATCTCTAGGGGAAGTAGCCCTATGCTTATGAACTTACAACATGCATGAGGTCCCTCTAAATCTCATCTTACCGTCTCTCCTGACATAACCCTCTAATCTCATCTCTTTGTTACACTATGTAGCACATGCTTGTGGATATTTATATTAATATCATTTTCATGCTCTTAGGGTTGTATCCTATGTCGATCTAATGACATGATGCAATATGACACTCATCATCATATAACAAGCTCAATATGGAAAACATCATCATATTAAGGAAAAATGTCATGCAAACAAAATACTCATCATAAAGTCATCAAGTGCATCAAACATAACATATAAGTTATGCATCGAAACATAAATCACATACATATAACATGTATCACAGCTCACAGATTATACTCATACATCATCATGCTCATAAATAGCTGTAAAGCATACAATTTCTAGTCTATCCTATAGAAAGCCACTTAATTGGTTGGCCTTATCGGAAGTACTCCCTAATTAGCTAAACGTATGCTCCCATTATTTGAGAGTTGCTTCAAATAATGCTGGGGTTTGTTTTCTATCACACCGTTCGCCACCTTCCGTTAGTATTTCACAATTAAATTAATAATTAATTAATAAACATAAATACGACTCTAAAATGGACTCAATTACCTTAATCGGGACAAAAAAATGGGTCCAAAATGGTCAAAATGGTGGAAATTGAGCCGAAAACTAAGAAGCCAAGCCGAACTAACTGAAACAGCCGAAGAGCCGCTGGAGCATCGCCTGTGGGAGGCCACGAGCTGTTTGAGCCAAGTCGAGCCAAGGATTGCCTGCGCCGCTAGGTGCCACATGGCAGTAAATGGCTACTAGGCTGGACTGGTCTTTTAGGCATCGGCTTACTGGGCTGGGCCGTAGGTACTTG